AGAAGGCGACAGAAGCTTTCAGTTCAGAGAGGACAGATTTTTATGAGACCTCAGGACCTCTTCCAAGAACCGAGGGAGAAAATCTTGTAGAGGACTTGCTCAACAGGGATGTTGCAGAACAAGCTTTTGAAGCAGGTGAAGAAGTTCCTCCTTATACAAGAGTCTCCACTATCGCTGGTGAAGTTTATACTGGAAGTATGACACTTCTGGAAGATGAGGATATGGAAGAGGAAGTTCCTGAAGAAGATCCTGCAGTTGAACCTGGAAAGGAACAAGAAATATTTGACGAAGATGCAGGTGTTTTTCCTTCAGAGGAACTAAAGATGGAAGTTGACCAGGAGGAAGCCAAGGAAGAGTCAACGCCACACTTTCTGTCAAGAGAGATAGGTGAGGACTCGACTGCATCGCACTTACCATCAGGTGAGATGGATGCTAACCTTGATGATACTTCAGGTCAGCGGAAATCTAAGAAAAGCCGCCTGAATAAGATTCCTGACCCTCATTTTCATGAAGAAGTTCAGGATGATGCAACCATGGAAGGGAAGAAAGAGGCGGTGGAGAAAATAAAAGAGGTCAGAGAGGATGATGGAGAGAAGAAATTGGAGGCTGAAATCCAAGAATCTTTTCCATCTGAAGTAGTTGTTGAAAAGGATACAACAAAAGTTGACAATACCTATGAGTTGCATACTTCACCTTTGAAGTTGCTTGGAGAGCTTACAGGAGATCCAGGTATTGGCTTTTATCAACTATGCTTCAGGGAAACTCATGCAAGATTGCTGAATCATGTTTGCTTCAGAAAAGGTGAGATTTCCCATCCTCATTATCAGTCGAGGATCAACGAGAACGATTTTGTTCGATCCATTCGCAATATCTGTCCAGTACCTCCACCTGATTGTTATGAACATGAACCAGAGCATGATTTGAAGAGATTCTTCATCAATGATGATCGCATCGTTTATTTGGATGGCAGGTATCAGGTCGATCCAAAGGCCCTTGAAAGGGCAGGTCATGCTCGAGAAGAATTGGAGGATACGAAAAAGGAACTCAAGAAGGAACTGGAATCATATGGTCCCAAGGGACCCAGTTGGGACTTTGTCACCTTCTATGAAGAGCTGTGCAGAAGGTTCCTCAAAGGAAGAATAGAAGAACCATATGGAACTAATTTATTGGCCAGCTCAGAGTCCTTGACATTTTTATCCTGGAACTATGGCAACATGGTTCGTGGTCAGAAGTACACCACACCAAGGTTTTTCCAAGGACTTGATAGTGCAATGAGGCCACGCAAACAGAGCGCCATGTCACTTCAGAATGAGCAATTTGAGAACAACCTTTTCTTCAACATGCTCTTCTTTTTACGTGCACATGTCGTGATTCTCCAGGAAGCTCATCTTCTTGTTCCTGCCAAGGAATTTATTGAGCAAAAGAATTGGACAGTTTGTTTCAATGATTGGGAGAATCTTGCAGTGATGGCTAGATTGGCACCAGGTGGATATGTCAAGATCATTGCTGGACATGATCAAGAACTTGGTCACTGTGAACAGCGTGATGTAACTTGGGCTATCTACGAGATTTGTTTTGGAGAAACAAGGCCTCGTCAAGATTTCAAGGATGCAGACTTTGAATTTGATGACTATGGTCCTGAGGACAAGCGTGTTCCACTTACTCGAGCGAACATGCATACCATCAGAGTCTGTAATTATCATGTTGATACACACCGTGCTGTGGATGCCCACCTACTGACAGGAGAACAGACAGCATTGATGCTTTACGAGTGTTTTGTCTATGAGGTGGACATCATTTCTGGTGATGCAAATAGTTTGGCCTACAGAATGTCTGGGTACAAAAGGCAGCCAATGGCTAACTACTATTACAGCACCATGCAGCATTGGATCCGCAGGTTTTCAGAAGCTCGTGTAAAAGCAGATCCTGGTATCAAAGCACCTATTCCCAGAACATTTTACAGTTCAACTTCACAGGTCCTCAAGAATTGTGAAGATTACTTTGACAAACTCTGGGAAGAATATTCTACTGTTGAAAAAGAAGAATACCAAGGATCAAGGCTTGGCGATACATGTTTGTCTACCATTGTTGAATGGGGTCATTCAATGAGTGAAGAGGAATATGAAAATTCCACAGTGAGCACGAAGGAGTTCATCTGTAATTTTTCAGAGAACTTTGCTATGATTGACACGGAGGTTATGTGCTCAAGACCCTCTGACGAGGACAGTCATGGTCCAATGTTTATTTCACTCAGACCAGCTTCCTTTTCATCTGGAGACAGAAAACAGTATCGCGTGGGACCAACTCTTCATGAGGCGAACTTGCGGAGGAAGGAGAGACAAAAGCAGAATAAAAGGAAAGGAAGGCCGCCAACTTCTGATCAAGCAGCTTCATCGTCTGCAGCGGCATAATTCCTGAGCGAAGGCTGAAATTTAAATGATGGCTAGGAAGTGAAGATACTTCTGGTTACAGTTGATACTTTGCTTCCAGGCTTGACTTTAAGTTGCCAGGCTGAAGTTTTAATAAATTCTGGTTTGCAATGAGGAGAAACTTTTTATCAAAGAAGATACTCCTGCATTCCAGGTTTATACGCTTTAGCGTGTAGATAGGTATGGACAGTTTTGCATAACTGATGATATCTATCACAGTCGCTTTTCTGAGATGACCTCTAATGGACAACCAGTCATGGTTGATGATTAAGTCATTTCATGATTTGCAATTGTAGTGCAAGATTTTTTGTACATACATTTGCCGGTATCTCCTTCTTGTGTTTTTGATGTGAATGTGAAAGAGAGTCCTTTTGATGCAGTTTATTTTGTCTGTGAATGAAAGCGGTCGAGACCACGTCACGAGAAGATTATTCCTCGAACCGTACGCTCCTTGCATTTTGCAAGGCATCTTAATTCATTGCAATTTGTGCGGTCTTGAATTTTTAGTTCTTTGTTACGCGAGTGTCGTTTGATTCTTTTATAGGTCTCTGTAGAGAAAAAGCCGCTTTCCCTTTTTAGTTTGATTTAGCTCAGGCCCTAAAGAGCTAGTGAGCGCCGGTACATGGTATCTCCGCCTGCGAAAAGTACAGTCTCCAGCCGAGGTACATTATCAATTTGATTTTGTACTTGAGGTGAGTCAGCTATTGCTCCCTCACTGTATTTAGTAGCTATGAGATTACCTTCTCTGAAGTGTGAAACACACTGGATTAGGTAAGTACATGGCACCGTAGTTTTCTTTTAAGTTGTCAGAGCTAGCTGGACTGTTTTAGCCTTGCAGTAGAAAAAGAGTATGCGACATACGCAATCAGCTAGAAGTGGACATGAATCTTGTGCCTGCTGAAAGGTAGAGCCTACCTGTACAGGGTTCCACTCCAACAGCTGATATAGTGTGTCCATGCTTGACTGCTTCAAGGCTCAAAGAGCAAGAGGATAAGACTCTGCGCATAAAAGACACTAGCGGTCTGCACCTCTACCGTGTACGCCCTAGTCACTCTTTCACCTCCCTCCCTCCCTCCCTCCCTCCCTCCCTCCCTCCTCCTTCTTCGCAAGTTCGACTCCGTCCTGTCGTCGCTCTTTGGCATGCGGTTAGCGTTGCGTATCTTGCGGCCTCACTCGCTCACTCTCACTGTCTCACTGTCTCACTGTCTCACTGTCTCACTGTCTCACTCTCTCACTGTCTCACTGTCTCACTGTCTCACTGTCTCACTGTCTCTCTCTCTCTCTCTCATCTCTCTCATCTCTCTCATCTCTTTCTCATCTCTTTCTCATCTCTCTCATCTCTCTCTCCTCTCTCTCTCCTCTCTCTCTCTCTCCTCTCTGTCTCTCGTCTTTCCGTCTCTCTTCTCTCTCTTCTCTCGCAGGAGGATCCGGGCAAAGAGCCACATATAAAGGACTCTTCACCCCTGCCTCCAAAAAGAGCGCCGTGTTTTTTCCTACCTCGCTGCCCTCCACTTTCCTATTCTGGAGCGTTAGCTTTCTGGCCTCAAGTTCCCATTCTTCTGCCTGTCTTTCATCTGGACTTCTCGTATTCCGCCGTCTCTTCCGCCGTCTGAACACAATTTGTGAAGATGCCCATGCGAGGAGCGGAGCGATTTCCATCTCCTGCTACGTATGGACGAGTCAAAGCCTGGAACTGAAAGGTCGAAGATTACTGAGATGAGAAGCCATGTCTGAAAGAGAGGACGTCTCAGACAGCTGAATTTCTCTATGGGCCCACTATGCATCCCATGAATTTCATCTATCCGATGGCCATCGATGGCCGATGCCTTCCTCAGTTCCCACAGAAAAGGACCTCAGTTCAGTGGGATGTTTATTGGTGTTCAGGATCCATTCTTGCCAGGCAGCTGCAGTGTTGCCTCAGGTACACTTTTCCAACCATTAAGCACGCGGCCATGGAGAATGACCATCGCTTGGACTTGCAGTCGGTACTCCTCAGTTGGTGGGGCTTTAGAGAGCGCGGAAGGAGGTTCTGAGTTGTATTGACTGGGATGTAGTATGTACTGGTAGGTACAGGTACAGTTTTTGGACAGATGCTGGGCCACGTTTGAGTGAAAAGCTCAAGACCAACTTGAACGAATGGTGGCTCCGTGATGGGTCCGTGGGTTGTACTTGCGCAGCCGCAGGCGGCGCAGACCGTTTGCAAGATCCTAATCCGATGGCAACTCGTGGAAAAGTAGGTAGTTCAGAGGGTCGATGCCTCCTCCGGTTCTCACCCAAACCATGTCAACGATGACGAACCTGGCCAAGAAGAGGTCAACAGCAATGATAGCAAAGAATGAACGCGCTGAACAAACACCAGGAAAAAAATAACGTTGTTGGCGCGTGGTCTCCAAAAAAGAACATACTGGCCAACCACTCAGTCTAAAGTCTAGTTTGCATTCTACCTGTAATTGTTCATGCATATCCTCCCCATATTGATATTACCCACTCATGTAGTGGACATCGTGCAATCCATTTGGTTCTGTGGTCACCACGTACCGCAAGGTACCGCTGTTTGGATGTCGTGCCCAGGATGACGGACCTGAGCAAGATTCGGCGATACATCCCCTCGGCGGTCTACAAGCAAATTGAGTGTGGTGGGATGCCCAGCGAGACGCCCGTTCCATGCTTTTTGGTTATTCTCATGTGACGCCTTTTTTTGTACATGATGCAAAAGACTTCGACGTGCCAAATGAGGCAACGGCGTCAGTCGGTGCTTCGATCTGAGGCACCCTGACCTATGTCAATGAGATGAGGAACATCTCCACCATCTTCATCAACGGATCTGGCCTGGGTCTCAGCTTGCTTGGACTCCTCGAGGAACGTTGGATTGTCATTCGGTCACTACAACCCAATGTTTGATAAGACTTGGTTACTTGGTTCATAGGACAATATCGCTATCGGAAGGGATGCGTCTCCGGATATGTCTCCTTCAAAACGCACCAATTTCTTTTGCCGAACCATGTGCATCGGCAGCAGCACGGTCTTCCGAGGCTTGGACATTATGTCCGAGCAAGGGCCAATGATTGCACAGGTGCTTGTCCTTGATTGCGAATCGCACCTGTTCCAAGCACGATGGTCAAATGGTGACCCTGGTGTGAGCTTGGTAGCTAGTTGGACACCTGGATTTTTGGGTGTTTATGCGGCACCTGCCACTAATTCAGCTGAAGAAAATGGACGTCCCCCTCCATCTCCTGGTCTGCGAGCGGCCAGGAGCTCATGTCCTCGGTCCAGCAATGCTGCTATGCACATGAGGGCACATTGAACAAGTTTCTCATTGACGACAAGGGCATGCTCTTTCTCTTGGCTTGAACCTCAGCTCCGCAGGAGCTCTAAGGCGGCGGTGCTGGTTGGTTCCAAGTGAGTAGTTTTTGAGATTCATTTGCCACAAAAAATCCTCCATGTTGAGTGTGTCTTCATAGACATGTTGTGTGTATTTGTGTGTGCAGTTTTCTTTTTTTTGTGTCGACCACTCAGGTCTTCGGACTGCCACCACTGGTGCACACGGATGATCCCACACGTGCTGTCTTGGCATGCTTTGATATGGTCAAGGTGGGCATCGCCTGGGAGGGGGGAGTTAAGAAGAATGTGCTCGTAGGACTCGTAGGTCGGGCGCATCTTAAGGTTGTTTCAGGATGGACGTCATTGATCAATTGGTCGATCTTCAGGTTAGAGGATGTTAGAGGTGCTCTGCCCTCGTGGCCGTGGGGGTTGTCTCTCCTGCAGTCGTAAGACAGCAACATAAGGTCGATTTTCTTTCAATTCGTCCAAGGAAAGGCCGCGGTGAACTCAAATCAGGTGAAGTCCCTTAGCGCCAGCTGTGCCGCCCGTGCCGCCGGCGCGCTCATCCGATGGCTCGGCGGCGCAGGTGTTCAAGAAGCTCCAGCTCTGTGGAAAGTTCGGCGTCACCACGGGGCGGAGCTATTGCCCCTCGGGCGGAGCAAAGCTAATGCGAAAAGGGAATTTGGAGCATGATCTGACGAGCCACATGGGGAACGGAACAAAGCTGATGACTAAACACCCAACATCGATGTAATGTGGGGATTTGGACCAAACTAATTATATCTACCATTTTCAGGTGAGTCTCACGCTGTTTCTTTCTTTCTTTTTTTCTTTCTTTCGACTCCGGAAGCTCAGCGGATAAGCATTTTGGATGCATTCCAACGAGTGCCAACTGGTTCGCGACCCAGCGGAAACCACACGGAAACCGCTTGCGCTGTGCGCGAGGTGGTGTCTGTGGGAGTGCACGACGCATGGAGTACACCGTCTTGGGTGACTGCGTGAATCTGGCGGCCCAGAACTCAGCCTGACACGCTGATGCTTTTGAAACATCCGGTATCATGTGCAAGTAGTGCTTGAAGAAGATACTCAGGGGCACTCAGAGGACGATGCTATTTCTTCAACTCCAAGCAACACATAGAGACTGGTTCCATGTATATCCATCCCACTTTCTTTTGCATTGACAAACCCGTGGCGCAAGAATCTGTGACGAGCCAAAACTAAAGCCAAAACGAACTGACCAGCATTGGAGGAAGGAGGACCATGTGGTCCTCCACCTCGACAGAACCCCAGGAAAAACTGGTTCCCTGTGGGCCATCCGCTTTCTGTTCAGGCTCGGCTCATGTCGAATGCTCCAGCGAACAGCATCCTTTGCGACGACGCCACACGAAGACGCTCCACCACCGAGGCCACGGGACATCGATTGATGGGAAATGCGTTTCCAGCGACATTTGCATGCCAAAACCGAACAAATTCAGGGAGTGTCCCGAAATTTTGGGGATTAACCCTGATTCGTCTCTCCAAACATCATGCCACCCAACGATTCGGCCAGATCATCTACAACGCCCTGGCTCCGATCAAAGTCAAGGGCAAGGCCATGGTCTCTTAGTCAATACCACAGCGTGACAGTGCGGACACGGCCGGACACGATCATACCACAAGTGGACACGGCGTGTTTATCAGATGCGCTGACACGGCTGGTTGATGCTGGTTGCAGGAAAAGATGATTGACATCTTCCAGCCGGTGAAGAAGGATTATAGCAGCATCATTGGCCTCAACAAGAAAGGGTCTGGGACTCAAGGACTTTGTGGGTTTTGTTTTTTTGGACCTTTTTGGTTTCGCCGGAAGTTGAGTGCCTCAGCGGCATGAACCCTCACGAGTCCATCTGTGACCGGGTTCGCACGACCGTCGCAGATGGGGGGGTCGCCGTGACTCGGCGGAGGCGTTTCGTCTGAGCGATCCGTCGATTGAGGATGATCTCCTTTCCGTGGCATCAGAATGCCTTCGGAGGCGTTTCGTCCGGAGGCCAGGGGGGCGATGGGTCGCTGACGTCTCGATGGGGGTTGGAACGGGTGCTCGGCTGCGGAACGTTTGCGGAACGGCCGACAGTCGGTTTTTGGGCGTTTTTCGGCATGTGCCAGGCTTGTCCAGCGCGGAGCTGCAGGAGGGTGTCATCCGGCTCTGCAGCATCAAATCATGGCAGGGTATCTCCAAGGCTTGTGGGAGGGGGGGACTTGGGGGGCTTGGCTTAGGAAGGAAACTGGGCGACTGGCTCAATGAAATTATATATACAAATCAATACAAATCATAAATAATATACAAGTTTGATGTACGATACAATGATGTGGAGTCCATTGTGGGAATGTGCATGCTACACGCCCAAATACATCGGACCGGACCTGAAGGGTGGATTTCCCCAGAAAAGGATGGACTCCGATTGCTTTGACCTCTGGTGAATTTGCAGATGCCTCCAGTGCGGATGGACCGTGGCGGCATGGCCCGTCCACGTCGTCGGACTCCTGGCGTCGCCGGACTCCTCTGTGCTCTGAGGCGTCCGAGCTCTTGGGCAGTGGCTTCCGCAAGGAGATCCACAACGACAAGGCCGCCGCCGCCGCCGCAACGGCCGCCGCAACACGCCCGGACCGCGGTGCTCGGCGCTGAAAGCCCGACGCCGAAGCCTTGGAGGTTCTGGGTGGGCGCAGTGACGTGCAGCACATGTGCAGTGGGGTGACAGGTGCTTCTTGCTGACAGGTGAACTTGGGTGGTGCAAAGAACGGAAGATCCATTCATGCAGTTATAGAAACGATTCAGATTGGGTCAGAGGAGGGTGTTTGACGGATTTTTAGAGGTCTGCGCACATTCTTGGCCTCCATCAGCGTGGCATGACTCCACATCATATAAGAAGTTTTCTTTCTGTCCACAATTGTGGATAGTTGTGGTAACTTTGCAACCCCCCAGCACATTCGAAATTAGGTCGTTTTGTTTGCCGTTGCCGGGATGTCAAAGAGCTTCTTTCTGCTGAGAGCTTCTGTCATGTCGACAAGGCCTTGCCGATCCCTGCAGAGCCCTCCATGGCCTCAAAGCCTCCGAAGGGGAGTCCCTTCAAGGAAGGTGGAGTGGTGGTCCGGGAGCCCGGCGAAGGAACTGGAGCCCGGTGGTCGGATGGTGGGAGATGGTGGGATCTATATGTTCCTTTTTTGAGATTGGTAGATTGGTGTCCGAAGCATCTTTTTTCTCTTTCGATTACACATTTTGGTCGATGACTCCCGGAAGAGATGAAGAGATGGGTCGGTTTTCACCTAGCATCCCATTTTCACCCAGCTTTGCTGGTATGCAGTCATTGAATCATTGGTTGGTTGTGACTTGAAGGCTTGGATCTCTGAGGTCATCGAAGGTGCCACTGGCGCTGGGAAGATCGAGATCGCAGAACATGTGGCGCGGGGCCGAGATCGCAGGGATCGTGGGCACCCGTGTTCGACACAATGGAGGTAATCCCAAGTGAAATGGTCCAACGGATTCCAATGGCCTTTTTGTTTAGGCCGTCTACTTCGAAGCTACTTGGGTCCAAGAACCGCAAGCACTCCACCCAGAACCGCCTTCAATCAACCAGGAGAGATCAAGCAAAGAAAGTCAACTTCAGGCCCTCGAGGTTGAGCCATCCACTGGAAAGGCCAAGGGAACATGCTGAGAAGACCAATCATCCAAGTACAAAGCTCTTCCCACACTGCATACCGTTACGGCGTTACGGCACGGAAGACCGGAGGATCCGAACGCTGAGGTCGTCCATTCAATCCTGACCTTCCGGATGTTTCCTGCTCGGAGTCCCCGGAGACTCGCTGCGGAGCGTCAGACTCGCCACGGGAGACGTGGGAGACGCCGTGCCACGCGTGGGAGATGCACCATCAGGGTGTGTTGGTTTTGGAGTAGACCATGTTGCCACCTCGGATACAGACAATTGAACTGGGCATGCACTGAGCAGGTAGGCTTTAGAGTTGTGTGACTTTCTTGTTCCCCAGGATGGGCTGCCACCAGATTTAATTTTTGATGTGGTTTGGACATGGTTCCATGTTATGGTTTTGCATATTGATTTGAATTTGAATATGGTTCTTGACTTTAGATATGGTTGTTGATATGGTTCTTTAGAGTCAAATCTGCTAAAGCTGACTGTCCTCGCCAACCGAGGTCTTTGGTTGCATGGGTCCACGCTCTGGGGACAGTTTGCGAATCGCCTGCGACCTGCTTAGGAGCCCTTCGGTGGTGTCGGGGTGTCGAACGAAGCAAAGCTTTGGTTTGAAACCTGCAAGCAAAAGAGGTCAAGGAACAAAAGCCAAGCATGTCTCTTTTTAGCCCATGAGTTGACATGTGATATGCTGGGGAACATTGCCGAAGTGACAAAGTGGCCACATGTTGAAAGGGACGAACAGATGTTAGTTTAAGCTTCCAGCAACTTGGAATTGGCCACGTGTAGACCTTTGAGAAACTTCCCATTCTGAACCAGCACAGAACAGGCATCTGGAGTTTTGCACGTTGTGTACATGCACAGGAAATATAAACGGGTACGCTGGGACAGGTTATGTTGGTCTGTTGGTTCTTATGCATCTTTTTGTTGTTCACCTCTAAGTTTCATTCGATATTTGGTTTCGATGAGGAGGCCAATTGTCCCAGATCTTTCATCATGAGGGCTTTCTGGGTTGGCCTGCTAGTTTACATCTCCTCCTCTGTCGTCCACCCCATTCATTGCTGTTCATCGAGCTCAATTTGTGCTCCGTCCGGCCCCCAGGCAAGAGTTGCGGGTGGGCGTTAAAGTTGCTTGAGAAACTGTGAGTAGCCAGTGCCTGTGGACTTGTGAAGTTTTTGCAGCCTGCAGCCCTTTTATCTCCAAAGGACTTCGACAAAGTAGTGCTCTGGATTGTTTTGTGGTCTTAGTCTTGTGGTCATGATGTTCGGATTGGCAGAAGCCATCGCAGGCGCCGACCTGGGCTTCAATGTCATTCCGCCCAAGGGGTCTCTGCAGGACTACAAACTTTGGGATCCACCGTCCGGCATTGGCCGAGAGCAGATCTGCATTACTCGTGGCAGTAGTGGCTCAGACAACCATTTGAGGGAGGTGGGGAAAGATGTCGGCAACTTTTACACCAATGGACAGCTTCATGGAAAGATTCTGCAGAGCCTGACAATTACACTAAGGGATGAATCCAAGGCGAGAGCACCGAAAGCACTCAATGAAGAGGTGCTTGCAAGGCTGGGAGACCAGTGGGAGCTGAATGGGCGTTTCATCACACAAAGGGAGACACTCAACATCCTCAATCGCTGTGGCTTCCACGTCTGCCCCCGCAGCGTGCTGACCAGACAAGATAGCATACATCTCCTCAACGCCTGGCATACTAGCCTGACAGCTGAACGAAAAGACGAACAAGTTGAACAAATTGAACAAATTGCAGACAGAATGATTGGAGCATTCCGGGAGGAGATGCAACAGTTGAAGCAACCACTGCAACAGTTGAAGCAACCACTGCAATTGCAGTTGAAGCAACCACTACTGAATGCAAACACTGGCCAAAGAGCAAGTGAAGCCAAGCGCTGCTGTGGCTGTATCCTCAGCTGACAGATAATGGAAGTTGCAAGGCGAATGGATGTATATACTACTACTAGTAGTACGTGTGGAGCCTGAATGCCAACGGTGCATTTGCAAGCACTGGTTGCCGAGAGTGAGATGAAAAGGGTTCAAGATGGTTCTTTGGAAGATCAGCAGTGGCGGCTTGTATGGACGACTTTCTACATCGCCCATCCCGAGGTCGTCCGACCAGATTGAACAGACCTACGAGGGGCGTCGTCGTCCGATGACCGCCCCGATGGACGGGAAACACGTGGTCAATCAGTCTTCCAAAGCAACTTTTAAGACATATGAGTTCAACACGTATGTCCATTTGTTCACAGACATGCAGAGACGTACACCTCGCTATTGCTATATTGACATTCAGAAAACACCAATCGCATCTGCTGAGCACTCTGCGAACTCGGCCTGGCACAGCGCACTTACCTTCTGATTGGAGGCTTCTCAATGTTTGCATGTTCACAGAACAGAAGACTTTGCTCGACTTTCCCACTGGTGACGTTTTAGCTGGCCTATCGTAAAAGATGTGTTGAACCAAGCCGGCGGAGTGGATCGGTGAGCGCAGCGCGTCGTGCTGCGTGTCTGCGTCGCCCTCAGGAGCACCTTGGGGATCTTCCGGGGCACCTCCAAGACGGCGCGAGTCTCGGGTTTTGGGCTCAAACGATCTGAAGAGCGGGGCGGGCCGGGGGAGAGAGGGGGAAGGATGCTCCAATTCTGAGGATCGTGTTTTTTGTTCTACAAACTGTTTTGCTTTGGATCTAGAGAAAGGTTTACTGTTCTTGAATGCTTTTCTGGGCCATGGAGGGTCGACCTTCTTGGCCGGAGTGTCTGTTCAAGGAGCAGAGATGGCTGAAGATAGATTGCAGTCGGGTGATTGTGACTTGATCGTTGGGCCCTCCAAAGACATGAAACAAACGATGCAACTTTCCAGATTCCGATGGACTTATTGAGCACCCCGCTGTAACTCCTTGGTGTCAGGCCTTGCCGGATGATGACTTCGAGGCACCGCTGCCGGTCCATGTGGGCGTAGCGACGGGCGTTGACTGCGGTACCAGGCCTTGAAGCTATTGAACTCGCACAAGAATCGATGCTTGAACCTCCTCCAGCAGGCCGAGTGGTGGACTGCGGGCGCGTGGGTTTTTGGAGATGTTTCTTGGAGCAAAAACGAAGGCCACACAGCGAAGGAAGGTGATGTCGCAGACAGGTCGTATTGAATCATAAAACCGACGTTCCGTCTCATTCCTGAGAGGCACTGAGCAAGTCTGATCTCATTTTGGAGAAAGCTGCAGACGCCTTGGCCCTGGCAGTGGAGGCCAAGGGGCCCAAACTCTGCACTCGTGGCGCCAGCGCACTCGTTGGAGAGTTGGATGGAGAGGTGGTAAGTAGAAGCTTTGGGCCTCCTCCACCGATCAACGTGGACTCTTAGATGATTTAGAACCACCCAAAAACAGAAAGCACATCCGAGAAATTGATGTCAGTGTCAGTTGTTTTTGGGATGGACATGGGAACATGCTTTTCAGGAGAACTTGCTGAGCTGTATATAGGGGCGCATTTGACCAATCCTTGCAAGCTTGTCGTTACAGTTTCTTGCAAACCAACGCAAATTAACCAACGAGAAGTGGAAGCGACTGGAATGTTCCCTGGTCAAACAGTTTCCAGACAATCCTGGCTTGATCGAACCGTTTCCAGAAATGTCCGTCTTTCATTGACCTGGCACCTCCGCCTGCACCTCCGGTGGGGCTTTTTCCGCCAGGTCACCGTGGACTTGCTGACGCAGTTCTCGAAGTCCGACTCGGTGCGACTCTTGGACCGCTCGGGTCGTCCGTGGTTTGGACCGGTTCCACTCGACTTGGAGCACGCGGTTCGAGTCGTTGGGTCGGTGGACGGGTGCCACCCGTGGGTGCCACAAGATCTCCGCTGGCACCCGTCCCCAAACGAAGGCAGGACGTTTTGGCAAACCAAGAGCCTCTGTGGAATTGCTCATGACAAAGGTGAATCATCTTGCAGCAGACTACATCATTTCGTTCTGCAATCGGTGGCAGAGGGAAGCCAAAGCGGGGCCCTAGCAATGGCTCTTGCTGTGTTTGCTTCTGCAGGTTCTGCTGGTGATGCAGTTCGAGTACGGGACCAGTTTGTTCCCCTCGAAGCTCCAGGATCAAGAAATCTTCTGGCAGGCCGGTAGCGAACACATGTCAAAATCAAGCTATTCCTAGCGAAGAGGCCAGTGCCAGCTTGCCAGTTGCTTCATCAAGATAGTAAGGAGTTCGCCGGATTTTTCTTTAGCCACGCCAAGTCGTGTCTTTTCAGAAGATATTCTTGGGTTGAAAAGCTTTCAACTCCCTGCACAAGATACCGTTTTTCATGGAACCGTCATGAAGTGATTTGTGAAACCACAGGAGGTGAATCGTGGATTTTGATTCCATCTCTCCACTTTTGCCAGACGGTGAACACCCTCTACAACGACTTCATCAAGACACAGACCGCTGATAGCAAGCCACGGGTCAGCTTGCCCAGTCAGTTGGTGTGTTGAACGGCTGAAGCCGGGGAGACCTCGGCCAGTGGATGACACAATGAAACACATGAACTCCATGCTCCAGCTGGTTCGGATTGACTGTGAGGCCTGGCAGAGATCCAGAAACCAATATTTGACAGTCAGAATCCGCAAGCCCCCCCACCATTATTAGCCGTGCCAAGGCCAGCCGATGGGACCGCCAACCCAAGGATCCCCCAACAAATCACTCCTAAGGATGACAGTGGGTCAAGATCAAGCACCCAAAACAAGAGTCAATGAACATCTTCAGGTGGACATAGGCAGTTGCGTTCCAGGTTGGTCAACTGATTTACTTTGCCGATGCCTCCGCCCAAAGGTGATGCTTCTCATGTGCAGAGACGCAAGACCCGAGAATGCAGCGGTTGGGAGTCCTCAGAAAGTCACTCGCTTGTCCCTCAAAGCTGAAAAAGGACACCCAGAAGTTGAAAGGACATGTAGACGCCAAGTTTTGTGAGTCGACAAAGGCCTAGAAGTTTTGTGAGTCTGTAAATTTGAACTCTACACCATACTACCCATCCCCGCCCTCGAACTTTCTCTACAATGGACGCATTGGGCCTCCATGTTTGACTTGGCGGGATAACTGACTTGCAACAACTGGATTTCAAGCTTGTTACAGAGCCCTTGTCCTTGGCGCTTAGGATGATCGTTAGTGCGAGAATCATCACCCCACTGGGCAGAAGAAGCATTGATCACTTGTGGAATTTCGAGGTCAAAGCAGCGGAGGGCAGCCAGACCCGGGTCATTTTGAAAGGTCTCGAAACCCAGGCGCGATCGATCGACTTCCCCGCGCATCGGTGGAAGGATCCTGTGGTCCTGCCATCCGCTGCACCGAAGAGCCGTCGTCGCGGCGCGAAGCGGCGCTTCTCGGCAGGCGAATGTGGCCGAATACATGAGCAGCACGGAGCCTAGAGAGTCTGCAAGCATGAGCATTTTTGTTCATTTTGACTCTAGTCATGGTCGAACACCCATGTTTGTTGAATGGGACTCTTCAATAATTTGTGTGGCAACAGAACCACAGGTGTGTGTTGGTCTATTTTCCTGGCCTAAGAGGCTTCTTCGTGCGCGACACGTACGAACCTCTCTTCACCCCCGCCTTCACCCCCCGCGGGGTGCCGTGCTCACCCGGCCGAGGATGTTTGAACCTGCCTGAAGCGGACTCCAACCTGATCCCGTCGCCGCTGAGAAACTTCGTCTCAGATGCCCCCCAGACGCAGCGTTCGAGGGTTCGATCGAACGGACCGAGCGTTGCGAAAACCGAAGTGTTTCGGTTTGGTGGAAAAAAAGCAAGATGAGATAGAGGTGAAGCAGTGAGAGTCTCGTGAGGCCTTTTTTGGTCATGGTGAGCCAAGGTGAAAGCTGCCAGCTATTTGTGGTCTGTCTCGTTTCACCCTGTTTTTTTGTTTGTGAGACTGGAATTGGCTTGAAATTTGACATCTGTCCAATGGGAATGCATCGTACAAATGTTTGGCCAAGTGGAAAGGCCACACGTTCTTGACAACTGCTGTAGTTCACCGGAAACTACGCATAGCTATCCATTCCTCTGGTGTCCTCTTCTTCCTTCGGCTACTCCATTCCACCCAATTCGTCCGACGCGTCGCGCGCAGACATCGTCAGCCCAGGTCACTCAAAAGAATCCTTTGTACATTCGAGAGACCATTGATCAGCTGCGTGAACATCACATTCAGGTCAGGACTGTGATTCAGAAAATGTCATGACTAGAGATGTCATGTCATGTGTCATTCAGGTCCGGCTGCAATGGTCGTGAACATCATCATGTTGACATGACATGACACATTATGAAGTGGAATGAAATGTGGTCGGATGCAGATTGGCTGGCCTGGCAGATGCTGCAGACAGTCTGACGGAAGCCGCGAAGCCGCGCAGGTGAATGAAACCGCAGGAGGAGTGGTGAAGAATGTCGAGTGTAAGGCTGGGGGCCACTTGAGCCTAACTTAGGTGTATATAAGTGAGGCGCTACGTGCACAGCGATCATTTCCATGTTTTCCGCCGATTTTCCCAACATTTTCTCCCAAACTTCATAGTTTTGCATTTGGCATATTCTGCATGGTAATTTCTTGGTGGCAGTTTCAGATGTCCAAGTGTCAAGCATGTGGACTCCAAAAGAGACCCCCTACATTTATGAACATATTGGTTCCCAATCTTTGGTGTCTCTGATTTCCGCCGAGGCGCCTCGGCTTTCGCTCCCAGCATGTTTTTTTGCATCCGACCGCTTTTTGCTTGGTGGTGTCATCCACCCAAAAGCAAGCGTCCCAATCAACGGAGCCACACCGCTCGGTGCCGATCGTACATCGACACCACGGTGGTTGGGCCGAACAGGACATCGACAAAGTGAACGTCTCCCAATGGGGACACACCGCCATGATCGGGAACACCGTTTGTGCGTTGGAGGCCTTGGATCCATTGGAGGCCTGGGGGATCGTCTTGAGTCTGAAGGGTCCAAGGGCTCCGATTTTTATATCGCATGGCTCGACCAGCTTCTTGACCTTCCTGACCTTCATGATGATCCAAGTTCTAACAACAAAGCACCCTGCTGCAGAGAAACTGTGCAACTTGGGGAGAAAGATCATTTTGAGAGAACATCCAACCATATCCGACCTACCAGCCGTGCCAAGTCTGTGAGTCATGGCCACGCAACGTGCATGACTAGGCGGCCGTCCTGAAGATGAGCACGTGTTTTATGGGGCCCTTCACTTTGGGCGACCTGGCCGCCAGCACTGCGTCCAGGCTGGGCATTACGCGGGTGAATCAGGGTGGGAGGAGTGACATAGAGGCTGCTCGCCCAGGACGGAACTTTCTTACCATCCATTAGGTCATTAGGTTGTATTGATTTCAGATTGGTGCCAGAAGCTACCTCCAGAACACCAGAAAGCAAACCATGACAAGTCAGAACACGTGGCACCACCACCCACCAAACCCCCCGATTTGGGTCTCCCCCAAAATGCCCTTCTCCGTTCCGTGTGGGACACCGCGGTGCCTCGCAGGTGGTCGGACTCGACCCACTTTGACTTTCTGCTCCTCTTCCAGGCATCGCAGTGGGTTGACCCCGTGGTCCGTCCGATCGACCACGGAGACAGACCGACCATGGACGATCGCCAGGAATGGAACGACGAAGCTTTCGGTGAACGGAGAATGTCCGTCAGGGATACTCCTCTGGGAGGGAGATCTAGGGGCAGAGGGGAGAGATGTTCCAATTCTCGGGGCCAAATCAATTGCTGGGATATGCTTGGGTACTTGTGTGAGATCCAGAACAGCTAGGGTACTCCAGAGAGACCAGACCTGGTTCGGCGATTTCGTGCCCACACCTGGCGGTGTTTGTGCCCAGACCTTAGGAAGAGCTGCTCCAGCTCGGTTCCTCAAGGCCGGCTTCGCGCCAGGCGATCCGCAAGCTGCTGGATCAAAAGATGTTGGAGGCGGTGGAAGCGCCGGCCGAAGCGAGGCCGGGCACTGGGTGCAGGGGTTCACAGGAACTTTCGTTTGACCGCGGGGACCGTGGAGGCAACTGTTTGTTAGTCGAGTTGAAAGACGTTGGAAAGACTGCCATCGCTAGTAGGTTGAAGGATCGCTGGAAGGCTGAGGGCCACCTTCTCCTCCTGAGATTTGGAACGGCCTCTGGAGTGCCTTGAGAAGAATAAGCATGCAGAAGTGCACATCGTCCATTTGTCTCTCCACCGGTGGCTTTACTGGCTCAAAGCGGCGCGTCTTGAGTCAACTGTACCGAATCTGAAGGCATGCAACAGATCTCCTGTATTAGGGGGTTATCTTGACGAGGATATGCGCAGTTGTGTGCTGACATCATATATGCTGAGTAGGGAACCTCATGAGATCAGTTTCCTACAGGATTTGAAGACAACAGTCAGTTCAGCAGTGCTTTGCATATCCTGTCAGAAACAAATGTGGTTGACTGGTTGATCAATCGTTGTTCCCAATGGAATACTCATGTGAATACTCATTGATTGCATGTCACTGCCTTTCAGGTGTCCATATGTTGAAGAGTACCCAATTGAATGAATGAAGCAACTTATTTCTCATGAGGGATTGACAGCTTCTACAATCCTTGGCAGCATTTGATGGTCGACACTGCGATTCACCAGTGACTTCGTCAGCAGGACCAGCTCTCGTTTTTTTCCGGGAGACAGCTTACTACTGGGCAGTGGGTCATAGCGGGTCAATCTAGACAGGGATCAGCGGCATTGTGTTGTCAAAGTAGTCTTCTGGTACAAACGTCCGGGGAATGCTAAGCGAGCGGAAGTGAGTTGGACTTGTGGAAAGGCTCGGCAGGACGGCAGGAGATCGATCGAGGGAAGGGGAGCATGTTTCGTTCCCCGAATGAGTTGTTAGGATCCTGGACGACAATCATCCCGAGTTATGAACGTTGATCAACAACATGGTCTTTTTTGCCAACGTCTGAAAGCCTTCCCTAAGTAGATGAAATTGAAGTACTCGACCAATATGTTCCTAGACTGCTCATCCTTTCTTCGTATCTTGGTCATTCCTCACCGCTTGTCACCAATATGCCCACCCACACCAACCTCCCCCGCCTCAAAGAAGAACACGTACCAGTCTGACGGGGCTGTCCGCCACGCGCAGGATGAACTTCGTCCGTGCGGAGACCATCGTGCAGGAGATCACGGTGCCCTGGCTACATTGGTGTGAAGAAAGAGGGGCGCGCTTCTGGGATGGTTTGAGCATATGCTGTCACTCAGCAAGGAAGAACGGGATATGAAACCTCATCAGGAGCGGGAATGGGGTGAGACAGAGCATTGCACACGAAGGCTGTAAGACCAAGACCCTTCTTTTGTGTTTGGCTCTGAGGATGATGGAAAAGTGCGGGATATCATTACGCAAGTGAAGAAGTCTGAGGCTGGGATATCAACTTGTCAGATTGGCCAAACTGAGGGGTGGGTGGGACACAGTGGAAGTTCCTATGTTTTTTTTTTTCCCTGAGACTTCCGTAGGCGGAGCAAGAAGCTGAGCGACGGGAACAAGTTCTTCGGAGTCTGCTTGGGGGGCTCAGAAGAGACCGGCGGTCAGTGAACTTGTCAAGTGAAATGTACTTGGCAGGATAATGCGGACCGTTCTTTTTTGAGGCCAGAGTTCAAGCGCGATGGCCAATCAGCTGCCGAACAGAAGGCAGTTGAACAGGCTAACGAGCAGCAGGAGAAGGCATCGGTCCCAAACAGGAACGAGACCGTCAAAGCACCTCCCTCTACCACTCTTCAGTCTTGTGAGCATGCGCGCTATGTTTCAGTCATGTGCTAGCGGTAGCGCAAGTTGCAACCAATCTTGTTGAAACGTGGTGAGTGGTGATTGAAAAGACAAAAACTCTTTTGCAATATTTCGAAATGAGGATGAGGCAGCCAAGGAGTACAATGTCCACACCATCGACGAGGCGCTGTGCAGTTTTCTGCCGACCACGCGGTGCACGGTTTGATGCAGCCCTGGACCTAGGCGGAGTTTGAGCACTATCAGCAGATAGAAGATGCTGAGCGTGAGAAGAAGCGAAAGTTGAAATCGCAGGAGATGCGGCTGCTCTTCGCTCCTCATTTGGCGAACACTCATTAGAACATATTAGAGCCTTTTTTCTGCTCCTCCCTTTCGAGTTGAAGAAGCAAGCTCGCCCCTTAGGACACCTTCAAAAAGAGGCTTTACTTTTGTTCTCTTTTTTTGGAAGGGACTGGGGGGACGACACATTCTATTGGGATCAGATTGAGATTCATTCACCAGAAGACATGTCATTCACCGCACGGAGATGGCTCCTCCGGACGAAGGACGAGGAGGCCGTGGCCATGTTCGCGGACGAGCGCAAGCGGCTCAAGGAGGTGCGGAACGACCCGTCCGGAACGAGCTCGGTGGGACCGTCGTTTTCGGCCAAAGAGAGGTGAAAAGGAAGCACTTGGTTGGAAAGCGACAAGAGTGGGAGGAGGGTTGGAGTGATGCTTGGTGCTCTTTGGGGGAGTGTAGTGCAGGATGTTGAAGAAAAGCGGCCTGACCTGATCTCTATCATGAGGCAGGATCCAAGGACTTGATTCGGAAGAATGAGAAAGCAAACGAACAAACAGTCACAGCTGAAGGCTGCGATCACATCACCTGTATCACCCTTTTGGTCATGACTCAATTGCTCTGGAGGCAGCAGAACATGGAAAAGTCTGAAAAGAAGGGCAAGGCTGGACACCCAGTCGTCGACATTTTCAGGACCTCTTTCCTGCACTCAGTTTCTCAGGAATCCAGTTCCGACCAGAGAACCCACTGTAGGAACTTTTTCATGGGGTCTGGATGGGTCTGGGAGATCCCTGACATCATGAGGCACCCATGGCATACTTGTGATGAAATCGTCTTCAGTGAAGTCTTTGTCTTCTGTGATAGCAATGGCCTTGGCCTCCAACCGGCTCAAAAAGATATTCAACCCTGCATTACTTCTTCGCCAGAGCGTCGCCCTGATTTTCGTTGCCGGCTTTCCACCGTACGCCATGGCGACCAATGCACCTCTTTTGGGCAATCAGGGTAAGAAGGGCCACTCGAAGGCTTCGATCTTCTACGGAGCGGATGAATACTTATCGGAGCTCAAAAAAAATATGCCCACGATCACGAAATTGCGGCGACGAAGAACTTGCTTCCGGGTGAGGCTGACCCCAATGCCGCAGGGGTAGCACAAAGCCACGATAAGATGCTGAAGGTGGAGAAAAACGATGCGAACAGGAGCTTGAAGACCAACCGTCTGTTCCCAACGGCCAACAAGCCGGACCCGATGCCACAGAACTTGGCCTTCTTGTTCACAAAGATCACTCCAGTGTCCTGGACTCGCTTTTTCTCAGGTGTTTTGTTCCTTTTTCGCCAGATGCTTTCGTGGGGCCCCCCCAAATCGAAAGGCGCGCAAGGTCCGCAAGGAAGATCTATCAGGAAGATCTATCAACTTCTCGAACTTCTCGAACTTAGGAGCAGATGATGTATATGTGGAACGTCTTGACCGCCATCTTCGTTGCACAAGTTCTCATGGTAGTTGCTTATTGCGGAGCCCTGGCAACATTCCCCGAGTACTGGTGGACTTGTACGTTGCTCTTTGGGATCCCCTTCTCCTACATTGCCATTCAGCAAATTTACATCGATCATGATGATTCTTGGCTTAGTACAATCCAGGATCTCTAATCTACTGCACCCTACCACTAGTCAGTTGAATATCAGTCGTGAGTCGTGAGCAGTCAAAAAGAGGAACATTGAAGATGTAGAATCTACTGCAACCGATCACCAAGCAATCTGGTGGTTGATGCGAAACAAAAGAACATAAAGGAACCTGATGCCGGTTTTTTTGGCACCTTCCATACAAACAAGGCTGTGTCAAGCCTTCGAGGTGTGCTTTTTTGCTGCGGGAAAATCCCTCCAGGGAAATGAACAAAAAATGAGGGAAAGACGCACATCTATTGTAGAACTATGCAAGATCTGCAGATGGAACGTATATGCAAGATCTACGTACTCTTGATGAGAGACTATACTCCACAAAAAGGCACCCATGTTTGTATCAGCCCGAGGGTTGAGACTTGCTTTGGAAACAATCGTTACCTGTTTGGACCTGCCACAGGGATCAGCTTTGCACATACTCTGCCTATGATGAAGTTGCTCTTTTCTTGGCGCTGTCTGGCCAACGTAATGCATGGGGCGACTTTCCCCGTTTATGATTGGCAGAAGTTCCTGACGCATCCTTTTGCAGACTTCTTCTCCTTGCCATGGGAGGAGTTTGTCTTGGAGCACAATCGACACCACGCAAGCACTGTGGACCTGTTGATCCAGGGGGAGTTTGGTTGGGATCCAGAGGTGGGTTTGTCGAGCCAGAGTGCTTTTTCACCGAGTGCGGGTTTGATGAGAACAGTGAATTCTTTGTTCGGGTCTTCTTTCTAGAATTGTGCCTATCTTTTTTTGAATGTGTGCATCATGAACCGGCAGTTTCAATCTAAATGCCGCAGGCTCGTGTAGTGATTCCGGCCTGTGTTTCACATGCGAATGCCACCGAAGCACCAAATCGGGGCTGACCTGCCACAGGAGTTCCACTATGCCTTGCAGCAGTGGGCAGGGCCTTTCAGCACAAATTGGTACAAGTACATCCTTACAGTCCCATGGTTCCTTTTCTTTTTTTGGCAACGTTTTTGGCCCTAGCCTGTGTTGAAGACATGCACAAGCCCTGCCTTATAGCTGGTTCAGCTTTGGACAAGACAGCATTGCGGATTCCGATCATTCACTTCTTCGGCCTCAACGACAGCGTTGGAGTGGTGGATGCATTTCCCTGATGAGGGTGCTGGTGGCAAGTGCAACTGAGCAAAGAAAGAGCACCTTTTACATCATCGTTATTTTCTTTTATTTATTTTTTTTTCCGGAGCCTGAGTTTCTGAAGAACTACCTTGCGGCAGTTGGACATAAATAGGCGCTCAGCTCTCGGAGCAGGGTTTCAGGTTGACTCCCAAAGCTTGAACAATGCACGGGTAATTTGCATCCGTCGTGTGCCGTGTGAGCACCGTAATGCGCATTGCCGCGAGAGTGAAGATGGGGCGCGTGGCGCAGACGGCGCAGAAGGACAGCACAGAAGGTGAAGACAGTGCAGGCGGCACAGAACAGCGCACGTGGTAGACGGCGCACGCGCGACCAAACCGCCCATCTTTCACGTTGCAAACTTGGCCAAAAGTGTTGTGCGCTGCCCCTTCCCACCCAATCCCAACACGTTTCTTTGGCCCTTCCCAACTTCAAGTTCTCCCCCAAGTCTGAGAAACTTGGCCAACTTTCAGCTAAACATCAGAGGCAACAAAGACTTTTGGGGAAAATGGGTGCCGAGACGTGTGTGCCACAATGCCTTCGTGCTGTCCTTGTGGGCCTTCGTGTGGCTTTTGGGCACCTATCCATTGGGTAGGCCATTGAGCGAGGGATGGAGGTTCATGTTCACCGTGTCCTTCTTTGCTCGTATCGGATTCTCGGCTGCCTGGATGTTCATCACGAACTTCACCCACTCACTTCCTTGGAACGAGTTCTTGGCACAGGACCCAGGCCGCACATGGCCAGTGCTTCACAATGTCATGGCTTTGGTGTTGGGTGGTAAGCACCACTGGAATGAGATGTTGTTCCACGACGTTCACCATGCTTTTCCCAATGCAGTGGGCACATTGAGCCAGCGTGGGCGTTTCCATGGTTGGGAGAAGGTGCATGACCCAGCGGCTGAAGTCTTGCACCGTGGCCTTTGGAAACCAAACGGTGATGAGGAGACCCAGATGCAGAAGACGCAGAAGAAACGTTCTCTCATGATGAAGCAGGGCAAATGAGACCCTGCACCCCTGCTGATTGAAGGGTCTTCCACCTGCGGCGACCTAACTCTTGTGACTCTTGTCACATTTGGTCTGCAAAAAGCAGTCCAGCACTGTTGATCATGTGCATTTTGTACAGTTGACTTTTGCTCAGCATGAATATGCGTGAGTGTTAATTTTCGCACGTGGGCGGAGGAAAACTCCCTTAGAAAGAGCCAGTTTTTCAGACGGTGTATGTGTATGTGTTTTTTCTCCAACGTTAATGTGCAAGGGGACTCAGCTGCAAATGTTCTTGACTGAACACGGCAAATGCAGCCGTAGTGGAAGGCAAGAAACCTGATATTCCCATTGGTTTAGGTGCCTTCAGTGCATTTCATGAACGGAGGCACTTACCAGTGGTTCTTTTTTTTTTCCGGTGTTATTTTTGCCCCGGCGAGACTGATCTCAGGTTGCCTCCAGTTTGGAACGCCTCAAAGGGAAGATCACTGTGAAGGCGGCTGGCGATGCGCAGGCCTCCGGGCAGGTGTCGGGTTCGAGGACGTCTGGAAAAAGTTTGCTAGACCTACTTCTTAGGACTCAAATAGATGCATGGGCATTATCCATTTCCAAGACTTCCTCCTCCGGCAGACTTCTGAGCAATTCAAAGATGTTGCCTGCTCATGGGTTCCAGTCACCCTGAATCACCGACAATGTCATAAAGTACTTCTCTGTGAGTCACTGACAATGTCGTAGGCGCCGGCAGCAAAGAAGGATGCCGCTCCTGTCAGCGCACTGGTAGGCAGGAGTTTCTGGCAAAGCCAGAGCCTGTTCAGCTCGTCAAGTCAGTCAAGTCGAAGTGTTCAATTGGACATGGAGGTTTTGCAGGTAATGAAAACTCAATGACCCCGGACCAGTAGGAGTTCTGCAGAGAGACTTGTTGAACCTCTCAAAATATGATGTTTCAAACAACTCTCCTCCTTTTGTTGAGTGATTTCAAGGATCAACAGCACCCGAATCCGTGAAGGGGTTGACTTGGCATGAGTTTGCACCCCAAGACACCGGTCCCTTTTGAGAAAGACTTCAACCAGTACACCGGGTCGCTTCCGACCATCACTGTGACGGGCAGGATATGGCTCGGACTCCGAATGAGCAGCTGCGCAGTCCAAAATGTGGTGTCCCTTGCGCTTGTGGCGCTTGCTGCGCTTGCTCCGTGGGGGTTTCCTGGAAGTCTCCCCTTGGTGTGAGGCACCATCCTGGGGGCCATGGTGGTCCTCCCCTTGTGATCATGCTGATCTTTCAAGAAAGCGAAAGGATGTGAAGCGCCATCATGATGATGTGAAGATGTGCATGGTTTGGAGCTGAAGACAAGACCCTTGAACGTTGAGTGGTCCTAGAGGTTGAAGTTTCTGACCACCACAGACCAACCTCTGACATCCTCTGACCACCAGTCCGCCCCCAAAAAAGAAAGCCGCCGCCCACAGCGCTTCACGGACGGGTAGACTTCGGCAGGGGACAAGAATCGTCGAGCTCCAGGAGAGTTCGTTGTCGAGCGTGGCGGGGGTTGCGGGGGTTGGGGTGGCATGGGACACGGTCAGTGGTGGGTGGAATAGGGGGCTGTGACTTGGGAATTGAAAAGAGAGCGCTTTTTATTTGGGACGGGGCATGACGTGGTAAAGTTGGGATCTTGCAAAACCTCGGTTGTTGGAGACATCGATTCCAATTGCTGGTGTAAATCTTGATTCGGAAGGGGGAAACACTATGGAAACATGTGTAAGTGTTAGATATATATATATATATGTATATACATAGATGTTTTAATATCTTGATATCTTGAAAAATATGTTAGATATAGTGTAAGTAAGCATTGAACACATCTTGATATCGAGATGCCAACGTGCCTGGCTTGTGGATGCCACGTGATGGGGTGCATCACGGGCCATCGCTTCGATCGGGCCATCGCTTCGTCGAAACTGCACCGTACGGACCCGTCCACTGGGCGGGTTCGCCGGAAGCGGTGGACCGGAGGAAGCTGCAACACTTCCAGACTCAGAACATTCTGATCAAATCTGTGGGTGGTGCCATGCTTTTGGAGGCCCAGATTATTGCACTGGGATTTGCTGGGTCGAAATGCCGATTAGCGTCTTGAATGACAGATGCGTCTCAGCAGACTGAACCAGATCACCGTATGAGTCCATTCAAATCGATCCTTCAAAAAGCATCAAAACTTCAAAGTCTCACATGAACTCAAACTAAGCACCCACCCCCTCGAAGAAGAACACGCCTTACACGTTCTGCCAGGCGCAGAAAAAGTCCGTGAAGCGGCAGGCGTTGATTGACCGAGCCCTCTACCGTTACCTCCCGGAGCGTATGAGAGAGTTGGCGGAGAAGCGGAACAAGCCGCACATTCCATGGTGGGGATTCCGATGGCCAGATCTGGCTTTGGGATCTTGGGGTTGGCCCGGCAGGAGTCGTTTTTCTCTCGAAAACCAAGAGTCTTAGGCCTTGAGCTCCTGCTGAAAATGGTTGGTTCAACCTGCACATTGAAGTTCGATCATTATATCAAGGGACCTGTTTCTGGGTAAATAGACAGCCAAACATGACACTCAAACAGAGTCTTTTGGCAGTCTCATCCTGAAGCTGCAAACATGATGGTTGGATTATAGAGTTTAAACATGTTTGGACCAATAAGCCTTCTCAAACTCCTCATCCCATACATTCTGTCGTGGCTGTAGGCATGTTCTTTTGTGGTCAAAGCTTCTCCAACATGTCCAGACACGCGGAAATCACCAGACGGCCCGGCGAAAACTCGCGTGACCTCCAGATCCACTGCTGAGGTATTATGAGCAAGCCTTCCGAAGAATGCAAACGTAGGCAGTATTGGCCGGTGACTCAGCTCTAGCTCAGCCGGCCGTGTGACCGGCCCAGCTCATTGCTGGTGGAATTTCGCAGGTCAATACTCCCAAAAACTGTCTTTCCTCAGCCCACCCTGAATGGCCTGAATGCACCAACTCTGAGGTTTAAGGCCTGGAAAGCCGTTTTCAGCGAAATTCGTGGTACCGAGCCAATGGCCCAAGACCTGGGGTTCGGTTCAGTGGCTTCCACGATTCGATAATCACCATTTGCCTGAGTCACTTGTTGATCGTTTATTGGATTCAAACAGCTCAAAAAGAGATGAACATGACACAGCTCGCGTGGCACAAGCAGCTCGTCTCGCGTGACACTTCGTTGTGGTTTGTTCATGTTTCTTTCTTCTGCTTTTGGTCCACCAAGGGGCCAAGGAATGCTGCGCTCTAAGGCCACTCAAATCTTCTGTTTCACATGGTCTCCAAAACGGGCAGGGGCACCGAGAGAGACAAACCGACGCTTCTCTCTTCGTCGCTTCGCGTAGAGAACGCAAACCGAAAGCGACACACAGAGTGAGAGGGCAAAGCTGTCCGGTACTGTAGTCTTCCTTTTCTTTGCAGCGATGTCCTCCAATAAGCGATGGCCTCCAACCTAGTAGCGATGATGAGATGGAATACCTCTAGTTTCGTACAGGGGTCAATCTCACTTGCAGACTGTCAGGCATTAAGTTGCACTGAAGTACTGGGTTCTCCGTCCCTCTGGGTATACCAACAGACATTTATATAACAAGGCTCCCTTGTCAGTTTTACAGATAAGCAAGACTATAACAGCCTGGCTATTCTAAATTGCCCAGTTGGGTGGGGTCTTCTGGCACCGATTCAGTCATGGACATTCCCAGGAGCCTAACAGACTCACCGAGCAGGGGCTTGCTGACCGAGCGCACTGGCCACGGACTTGGATCGCTGAGAAGAATTCCCACCACTGGGTTTTCAGCTGGGAAAGAAGAGCTTTTCTTTGAGGCCATTCAGATTGAAAGCAGTATGGCAGTATAATTGCATGCAACCAGAAGCGTACCTGTTACCTTGAGAACCAGATTTCACATGTAGAACATCTCGCGGGGCCTTCCCGCTCCTCCTCTGAAACACCTTGACTGGCACTGGGGAGTTGTGGTCAGAATCAGAGGGCTCGCAATGCTTCAGGAGCTCAGATGGCAAATCCACTCGCGCTCTCAAATGAGATCTGCGGAAATTCATTGCCTTCTCTGAGCCAAAAGAAGTGCCTGATTCAAATGACAAGACACTTGACCGACCGAAAAAACAGCACGCTTAAGGGTGTAAACTTTAGACTTGGCAACATCGACGATGGTGTCATGGCTCAGCAATCTCCAGCGAAGGTCCGCGTTTCATTGAGCTCTGTACAGCTACCGTGGAAAAAAGATGGGAGGCCATATCGTGGTCGCTTTTGTGTGAAAGTCATCGACGGCGCTGATGATATCTGATGTCACCAACAGCGCTATCTGATTGGAAAGGTGCTGTTGGGATCTGCATACCTTTGGCCAGAATCCCCCCACAAAGCCCAAGGAAAGATCATGATGTCCCCCCTTTTTCCACCATCACTTCTGGATCGTTTTGACCACCGGATGCTCGATGGTCTCGACCTTCTGGTCACCAGGTGTTGGTCGTCGGACGGACCCGCGGACGGACCCTTCGCCAGGTATTTGGTCTCCCCAGGTGACATGGCCGTCGTGCAGGTGTGGCTGAACGGGAGGTCCCGTGGGCAGTGGCCTCCAGGGGCCTCGGCCTCCAGGGGTAGAGTGTAGTGGGAAGTGGACACAGCTTGTAACAGTACTGGATCTTTGGAAGAAATCAAGACTTCATCTGTGGGAGACTGGGGGATATCTGAAAAGGTCTGCATTGATCCACTCAAAGTTCTGAGGAGGGAGTCAGATTGTGACAGATTGGGATGCTCTACTTGTATCCCATGTCATGAAAAGGACAGGCCGTAGGGGCATTGGGCCGGGGCATTGGGCCCCAAAGAAGGAAAGCAACAAATGAGGCAACAGGACCAATCGATTGGGACTGTGAGGACCGCTAGGACCGCTACGATCATCTGCACTCTGTTTTTGCACATCCCATCGAATGGGGCCATGACTGGCTCGCCGAGGTGCGGAAGGTTCCCACGTGATTTTCCGGAGC